TGAAATAATGTGGTCGAGTTGAGGAATGTCCATCTTGAAGTAGAGCACCAAGAATCTGATAGTGTGCCATTGGATCTTTGCTCACGTGTGGTTAAACATTTTACTGGTGAGACCTACTCTGATACCAATTAAAAGTGAAGAGAGGGGTGAATTAAAATTTCCTTTAGTCGACTTCCTGTAATGGCCAGTTGACTCACCTGCACATTAGTAGAATAAATAAACAGTAATAATAACTTGCAGTAAGTAAATAAAACCGATGTGGTGCCTAGTCCAGTCCCCTTGGGTTACAAGGGTTTCCTTAAGAGCTTGTTGAGAACTTAGGTGTTACAGAATGTTACAATTAAGATCCCCATCTAATATGCAAAGCAAATCTTCTTCTTTGACACAACCTTTACCTGAATAACCTACACTCAAATCTTTCTTTCTCTTTTCTTTTCAATTGTTCACTCAAGTGTGTACAAAGTTTTATGAAAGATAAAAGAAGATTACAATATAAGTTCAATTTGTAGGATTTTCTGTATCTAACACATATACATTAGTTTTGATTTTCCTGTGACACAAGGTAGTTTGTCATTATACAAAACATTATAAGTTAACATATAGGAGATCTAAGCATGCTACAACTACTTTATTTAAATTCTAATAGATTTTCATCAACATTTCCGTTGAGCCTTTGGAAAATGAGTGGTCTTCTCTTACTAGACGTGTCACTAAATTCTATAGAGGGAGAAGTTCCATCAGATATTGTAGGATTGAAAGCCATTATAGAACTATATCTTTACGGTAACCACTTTTCAAGCATGATACCGACCAGATTGGGGGAACTCCAAAACCTGTTGTCTCTTGACCTATCAAACAATTCATTTTGTTGGGTTTTAAAGGTGTGAACAGGAAATGAAGGGTTGTGACTCTCCTGAAGGGTTGTGACTATGCCGAAGGATTGTGACCTTTATGAAAGGTTGTGTCCATTCTAAATGGTTGTGACCAGTTGAAAGGTTGTGCCTTTTCCAAAGTGTTGTGACCTTTCTGAAAGGTTGTCTTCTTTCCAAAGGGTTGTGACCTTTACCCTTTGTTGGCTATAAATAGAGAGATTTTCTCTCATTTTTCTGTATCGAATTCTTCCCTTCTTTTGCATACATTTCTTACAAAACAAAATCGATCGATCGTGTCTGTGTGTGTGATTCGTTGCTGTCATTTTGAGTTCGTTGAAATTATCGAAGTTTGAGGTACCGCTACTTCTTTAATGGTTAATCCGTTTTATCTGGGAGGAATTAATCTGCAACCTCGGGTACTTGAGGGGATTAAATTTCTTAAGGACACACAGTGGGTTCTGTGGACTCGGATAGTTCTTTGTGTTTTTCTTTTCATCTTTTATTATTTCTGGTTTGCTAATCTGAATACAGGAGACAACA